GCAGCCAGCCGCGCCCGACGCTGTATTTATTCTGTCAATAATAATGAACAGCAACGGCGTCGTTGTGTATTTTCTCGGAGATTCCGGTTTCCCCGTTGTATCTTCCCGGAACCGCCGCGTCCAGATCTCTCCCCTCGTTTAACGCCACTGCTCTCTTCCCCAGAAATTTTACAAAATCTTGATCCTAAGGGTACTCGCAATACCGAGGTTCCATAGACGCCCAGCGTATGCGGTCCAGAGTGTCGTAAATTTCCTCGAGCGATATTTTTCACGTTTCTTCCTAAATTTCGTGGAAATCAATTTCTCAAATTCACCGGCTTCCCGAACGAGAGATCGCGGAAATAAGAAACGACCGACGAAAAGAAGAGGGGACGTTTCTCACGGAAGAAGAGAGAGGTTCACGCAAGGTACCGTTGCACTTCCGGCAAGGAAGTAGCGCGGCGGTGGGGGCGAGCACGTGGTCGCTGGAAGTGACCCCGCGAGGGGCGAGCGGCGCCGCGAAGGAACAAGGAGGCTAGGTGGTTGAATAAGGGCGGGAGCGAGGATTGGGTGCGCGCGCATCCTCGGGCCACGCTGCCGCCGGTGGCTCGGAGGAGGCCGCGTGGTTCGCCTGCTTCAGTAACTCCGACACCGTCGAGCAAGCGAGTCACGTCCGATCTCCAGGCTTACTTTACTCCGAGACGCGCCAAAAATCTAGTATCTCTCTCTCAACCGAGCGTTTCGCGATCGTACACGTCGTACAGTTCACGGCTGTCTCTCCGATCGATACGATGAGAAGAAACGACTTTAATTTATATCTCGTAAATTAGTGGACAGGTGTGCTTCACGCTGTTTATAAACAGGCGAAACGCGTGACCCGAGCGAGGTTTCTCGAATCGAATCGTGGAATATTTGCGAATAACTGTGCGTGGATATTTCATCGGTTTGACGAGTATTTTCGAAAATCTTTCAAACAAGTGGCAGTTGTGTGACATTAGAAAAACATCGAAACTTTCTCTCTCTCTCTCTCTCTCTCTCTCTCTCTCCAGTGAGTGATGTCCTCTGTTTAATTTTATCCTCTGATTCGATTTCTCCGTTGTACCGTATATTCGAGAAAAAAACCTTCGCTATGAAGGTGATTCACTCTGTCACGATCCTCTCGACGCTCGTTGTTCTCGTGTTCACCGAGCCGGTGGACGAATCCTCCAGGCCTAAACTAACCGTCCTGAAGTGTTGTCGACACAAAGAGGAGCTCGTGAAGGAATCTGACAGCGAGACCGATACCAGAACCCGTTGCGAGCCGACTCCGAACGACTGGAAGCCTGTCATCTATTCCCCGTCGCAGGGTTCGATTCTGGAAAATCTACCTGCCTCGTGGAACGTCGTGCAGGGCAAGAAGCCCGACTGCGGGGACAATTCGGTGTTGACCTACGTCCCCTATAGAAGCATCAATCCTTTCTGGCTGGTAGACGACGGAAGTGTTCTTCTGGAGATCAACACCGACGATAGATTCCAACCGAACGAGTATTGCGCCGATTCCAATGCTCTGCTGGTCTGTGTACGGAAGAAAATGGAGGGAAACCACGCAGCAGCGACTATGAAGCCGCGTATCAGGCAATGCTGCGGAGAAGACGCGGCTTTCTACGAGACAATGTGAGTTTTCGAATAGTTGAGCTCGAGTCTGGAGGTGTTTTGTCCGAGGTTCGTTCGCCTCCGGTTTGCAGTATGGAGAGTAGGTTGACCTGTTTGGTAATCTCGACACGTTTCCTCCATTCGCGGCGTGTACAAAGTGTGGGGTTTTTTTTTCCGTTAGAAAGTTTGCGAATTAAGGTTTATGGCGTAGGGTAGGGAAATTTGTCCTAATTTCCAGCGCGGGTGTAACGTGGAAATATTAGCGGGACAGAAATTCTCGAGCTTTGATCATACGGTATTTCATTTTTCGAATATGTGACAATTCTTTCGAAGCTCGGGAGTTATCGTTCATGTCTCAAAAAAGTGTCCCAATGGAGCCTGTCAATTATTAGCGAATATTTCCGGTGGAAAAAGTACAGTTGAACATCCAAAGAAACTGCATAATTTCGAGATGTCAGCGAGGATCGATATTCCTTACGGACAAATATCTCGGTGATTTGTATTCCGGTAGCACGGTAAGAGTTCAGAGACACGCCGCGACTAGCGTTGGTTGAATAACTGTAATCGTTGGGCCGGTTACACGAAATTTATCGGTTTACCAGACGCCACACGGTGTATTTTTATCGCGAGGCGCCGTTTGACGCCGTCGAAAACAGAGACAAAAAAGTTGAAACGAACGATCGGAGGAAGGTTTCCCTTTTGGTAACTCTATGGCGTTGCTGCGACGCAAGCTTGTGACGGTTCGAGCGAACGAAAAATGTCGAGCTCCGCTTTTAATCGCGTTACCAATCGGTCAGGCCTGGGCGTTCCGTGGACTTTGTTGGCATTCTGTGTAGCCAGCGCGCGTGTTTCCTAGATAAATTCCCGCGATACGATATACCATACACCTTCCTTTCTTTTCCTTTGCTCTCGCGGCGCGCGATGGCCGTTCCTTCGTCTCTTTCTCTCTCTCTCTCTCTCTCTCCCGAGTTTGTTCACGTCAAACACCGTGCATGATCCCTTGGAAAATTCTCGGTATCGGCCCACGATTCCTTCCTCACGTTGACGTTTTCGTTAATTTATTGCGGTTTCTGGTGGGTCCCTTTCGAAAATTCTGCGAATTTTAGGGTATTCACCTGTTAAGTGGGCTTTTACCTGTAAGTCAGAAGTGAAGGTTCTCCTTTGTTCCATATTGCCTTTCTTGGTTCAACTGTTCCGAGTAACATTCTCGAATTTCGTAGAGAAACGAGGTGAACGCTGGTAGAAAAGCTGTACAAAGCACAGAGGATATTCCAATTTTGCTTAACTCTTTGGGGCATAGTGTGATAAAAAGTGTCCAACCTTTTTGATACGCAAATATGCACGGTGGGATATTTTTTATTCCACCTCGAAAAATTACAAGTGCTGCTGGAACAGAGGTTAAAAAACAAGTCCCGCCTATTTAAACCAGTTAGTAATGGTCTTGTACTCTGTGCAAAGTACCTCTGTGTCTTGGGAAAAAGATGCGCTTTAACAAATACCATTCACGAATCCATATGGCACAGAGGGGCTGTTTAAGTCCCACCCTGTAATTAAAAACTTAAATGACGTTTTATCTACTTTTGTGTTTCTTTTGTAATTTTACTTGCTTATTGGTTGAAACGAACCAACTTTGCTAAATTTTCTAAGAATAAAATTTCTGTGCAACGTAGTTTTTTCACTCGAAGAGTGAAAAGGTGTAAAATACGTGGAGTAATACTTTTCAATATTTTGGAATCATTCTGGAAAATGAGAAATTGGTAGATGGGATATTTTCGAAAAAAATCTGTAATACTTAATATACGCAAACTACGCAAATTTCCACGCTGATCCTTTTAGGTAGACCGCAAACTTCTCCAGAATTATGCAAACGAATAATAGGAAATTGCTACTCTGGCATTAGCCAATCCTACCTTGCTCAATCCTTCGCCCAATACGAGCCTATAAATACTCGAATCACCTCTGTTTAACACCTGACTAGCATACGTTCACTATCTAGCCCTTTCACCACAATTTCATCTTGCTCGAACATTCTCGCCAGTGCATCAATCTCGCCGTTTCTTTCTTTATTTTCTCCGCGTTAATTCGTCGCTTTCGAAACGTACGCGAGGTGTCATGGAGGATTTTGTTGAATGTGTTACAGACACGCGTGTGCTCATATGAAGGAAGCTGCTAACGCTACTCCTTTGTTACCAATCGCGTACTCCGCCGTTGATATCGTGCCTGGTTTCCCTACCTGTCCACGTTCCGACAATTTCACCATTTTGGGCGACGCGAAGGATGCTATTCTGTTGCCTGACGGAGGACTGGAAATCGACGGGGTCGCTTTACCTGCCGGCCAATTCTGCGTCGAGAGGATCAAGGAACTTAATCAGGTGGCTAAGGTCTTCGCGTGCTCGGAACACTCGTCGCAAGGGTGAGTTTCATGGCGCATTTTAGTTGGCCTATATCGAACATATGCAAATTGGCGATAAAGTGGGACCTGGATAGAAGTTTATTTCGTCTTTTGGAGTCTTTGCATATATTTTTTTTTAAAGAACGTGTGCAATGCATACTTCATATTTGTAGGCATTTTGGGACGGTTTATGGCTTGGTCTGCGCCTCTTGGCGAGTGACAAACACCAGACCCGAGTACCCATCGGTTCGGCACAGCGATATCTTTGCCTTTCGACGACAGTCGGTTCTTAGCTTCGGTAATAGACAATAAACTACATTGCACGACATCCTGATTTGAGTAAAGTTCATATTTATTGTTTAGTAAACAGCGTGCATCGAACATATGCAGATGTTCGTGCGAATGCATATTTTTGTAGGAAATTTGTAATGAAATGGGACCTGAATGGAAATTTGTTTCGCCTTTTCGAGTCTTTCGCATATATTTTTTTTTAAAGAACGTGTGCAAAATTATATTGCATACTTCATATACGTTTGTCGTATTTATCGTTTAGTAAATTTTCGAACAAATTATCATTTCTATATTACTTTCGCCTTGGTACGAGTTGTGCCCATTGGCTCAGTTTGTGTATAAACGGCCAAAAAGGTATTGTCTTTGTTAGAATTATGGTAATAAATTAAAAGATATTATTTTAATTATGAATCTTCTTTATTTTGATACGCGAGGAAGGCACGTCGCGATGCAATCAATCAAACAAAACATAGACAAGACGCTGAACAAAAAAAACGTATCAGCGTCACCCATGCTAAACAGATGGTTACTATGTTCTTTCTCAGTATGTTTACTCAGTATGTTGATTATTTTTGCCGTTACTATTACACAGACACATACTCATTTCTCTTTGTAATCCAACAAATTTCCTCTCGTTTTTATATCACACTCGTAAATGCAAAGGTATGCACATTTTCTAATGCCATACTGTGAAAGGGTGGAAAAAGACGTGTACCCTCGTACATTTTGAACAAAACACACCCGATATACTTTTGCCCTGGTGATGGACGCGACTCCGTCTGAATCGTGAAACAGGGCTCATTTGAAAACGGAAACGCGTTCACGGATGACGCGGCGCGGATGCGACCTAGAAATTCCTCGTGAGAGAGGAGTGAAAGTGAGGGAGCCGACTTTTTCTCTACCATCGAGCATGCAATTAAGCCGTACGATAAATCCAGATCGAGACAGCCGATACTGCGAACCGGGCAAAAAGGCGATTCGTGCCTGGAGCATCCGAGTGAGACGCACGGCTGCGTTTTTGAAAAGCGTGAATCGATCGATGGAAAATCAATTAAAACCAGGCGCACAAACGCCCTGCTTTAATCTCGTTAATTTCTCTTCTCACCTCGGTAACCTTACGTTTATTCTCTCGTTTTGAAAAAGTAAGTTTTCTAGATTACGTTCAGTTTTGAAAGGAATTGCATTTTATCGAGGTCGTTGAATTCGTCTCAGTTCCCACTAAATGTGCAAAAACAAGAAAAATTGAAGGGGACCTTAAAAGTGAAAAAAAAAAAGAGATATTGAAAATCTGATATTATCGTTTTGGAGAGGTTCTCTGAAACTGTTTACTCTGTGACAAGCAAAATTTCGATCGGTCCACCGATAACGAAGATAATCGAGGCGGACGCGTTAGATGAATCACCCTGTACAGTGGACAATGTTTACT